CTTAAGACGTTTTATGTATAGCTCATTGCTTTCGAGAGTCAGTTTAAGTTCATTGTTCTGTTGTTCACAATTTGATTTAGCAGTTTCAAGTATTTTTATTTTTCTGGATAGTACATGGTGATTATCTTTGAGTTCATTCATACTTGTTACTAATTTTTCATTTTCTGCTGTTAACTTTTGTATCTGTTCCTTATAATTGGTTGTTGCTAATGAGTGATTTTTGTTAAGTTGGTAGTTATTTGCCACTGATATCTTCATTTCATCATTCAGTTTATCGATTTCTGATTTTAGTTGCCCTTTATTTTCGATAGCCGACTGATTGCAGCTTTCTTTAAGTTGGCTTAAGTTGTTAATGTGTTCATTTTTCTCATGCAATTCCTGTTGAAGTTCATATACAACTGCTTGAAGTTGAGTTATTTCTTCATTCTCTTCGTCTGAGACATTATTAAATCCTTTGGCGCATTTTTGACTGCAATAGACTCTGTGGCCCTTTATAATTTTAAAAGTTTTATTACGCTCGATGCAGCTCTTGTGTGAAATTAATTTGCATCCTATATAATAATAACACGTCAATTTATCTTCCTTACAGCATTTGAAGTTTTTTTTAAGACAGCAGCAAAAACTCTACCTCCTCATCGGTCCCAACTCATCCCTATCCCCCGGTAATAAATTGAGAATTTTCACACACGTCATAAGGCCAATGCTCACATATGGGGCCCCTGTCTGGAACATAATTTCTAGAACTCAGAGGAACCGCCTTCAGCGGTTCCAAAACAGCATTCTCAGAGGAGTCCTGTCTGAATCCAGGTACGCCAGAATAACCATGCACAACCATGCATTCCTTATATCTCTGACTACCTGGACGAGGTCAGCGAGAAAGGACCCCGCAATATTTAAATGGAAATTGGTTACCCGTGATATTTGGATGAAATTTAAATATGTTATTGGGGATGCCGCAAGCAACATTTTTTACCATGGCACAACCCTGTATATATGACAGGTGAGGCGTGGTTAGCTGTCAAATATTGGAATCTTATATCCAAAAGCAGAGTACCTATGGCAGATTTTGATGAACGAAAAATCTATTTCTACTAAGTCGACCAAGTTAAGTCGAAAAATGTCAACCGTTTCAACACCTGTCAAAACCCTGCCAAACGGCAGCACCCATCTTTTCCAGTTTTCAATATTTTATGTTGTCATTTGACATTTTTAACTTCTTATATGTAAATTCTGAATTCAAAAATTGAAGAAAAAAAAAGACAGCTGTCCAAATGTGACGTGCATGGACTTTGTTCAATGTTTTATCACCAATAAACTACCTTAAAACGAGAAAGGACCAGATTAGAGTATTTTTTTCTACTGAAACAAATGACAGGTTTTGACAGTTCTGTAATTTTTTTTTTCAATTTCTGAATTTAGAATTTACATATAAGTTAAAATTGTCAAATGAACACATAAAATATTGAAAACTGGAAAAGATGAGTGCTGCCGTTTGGCAGGGATTTGACAGGTGTTAAAATGGTTGACATTTTTCGACTTAACTTGGTCGATTTAGTAGAAATAGATTTTTTGTTCATCAAAATCTGCCATAGTTACTCTGCTTTTGGATATAAGATTCCAATAGTTGACAGCTAACCACGCCTCACCTGTCATATATACAGGGTTGTGCCCATGGTAAAAAATGTTGCTTACGGCATCCCCAATAACATATTTAAGTTTCATCCAAATATCACGGGTAACCAATTTCCATTTAAATATTGCAGGGTCCTTTTACAAGTATCAAATCAACGGCTCCCCACTTACACGCAGCCTCACTGCGACTAGATTTGATCCAGACAATTCCATAGTGCACAGACCACCGTATAAGAATTTACCGATCTATCTTGCACCCCTTTGAATCCTGGTAAATTCTGGTAAGTTCTTCCAATACTCATTCTCTGACATCCCTCACAAGCTCCTCCACCTGCATCAGAGCCATTACCCGTGATCCTTCAAATCACGTGAATGACTAAGATGCCGGGCGGTCAACCCCAACAAACCAACCTCGCGCTCACGCGTACATACCTCAAGCTCACTTTTACTGTTGAGACCCGTCCATTGGACCATACTGGTCGACAAGGCACAACATTTTCATTTAGGTTTTAAAAATCAATGAAAAGTGGGTTTTTTTAAATACCTTTTCCCGACAGAACGAGCGCTGCGCACTCTGCAACTCAGAGCATCCCCCACCATCCTTGAGTAGGCCAGTGTAATGCCCAATGCTTGCCATCCGTGGTAGATACCAGCGACCCCAGGGTCATATAAACGACGTGTTAGGGCAACCGGGTAACCTCGTAAACAGTTATAAGCAAGAATGGGACTAGGGGCTTGATAGGTCAGATCATCGACCGCCAACTGACCAAAACACCACACAGCGCGCTAGGCGCGCAGTAGTATACAGGGTGCTGCGCCACACTGAGTGTTAGTTTGTAAGTCCATGTCCTAGTTTTAGGTAGAGTATTGTATTATTTGTAGTTAGAGGGGGGACTAGCCCCCCGGTCTGTAAATGTACGATATTAATTAATTGAAATAAAGTATTTTGAGTTGAGTTGAGGCAATGCTGAAGATGCAGGTTCGAATTTCGCCTAGGACCAACATTTTTAATCCTCCAGTTTTCCTTAACTTTCTCTTCATTCTCAATTTCCACGCTTTTCGGTTGTAAAAACTTCATTCCTTTCAACATTGCTAATGCGGGCATCGCATACACCAAGTTTCAACACACATGGACGAAACCTAGATAGTAATAAGAAGCTTATTCGACTTAGGACCGATGCCATAAATGTGTGGGTCTGTTGAATGATTGAGAAGTTTGGCAATGAGCGGAGAACCATGCAACCTCCTCTAACAACACCAAACAAAATTCAAAAAGATCTGTAGGATCATGGTGGCTTAGTTTGTTAGAGCGTAGCATCGACAATGCTAAGGACGCGGGTTCGAATCCTGCCCAGGACCAAAATTTTCAATCCTCCAATTTTCCTTAGCTTTCTCTTCATTTTCAATTTAAATATTTAATTTAAACATTTAAAATGAATTTGGATAAAAAATTTCTTGGTTGGTTATCCCGATTTGCACTGAATATCTTTCCATACCCGGCAGCCTTCCAGCAAAAAATCAATAGCAATAAGCTTCTTTGATCAAAAATTAATATCAGAAGCATTTTATTTTAAAAGAATTTGGGTCACATGTATTAATAATCTTGAGCCGGTCTGAAGAGATAGAGGGTCGAGTGTAAGATTTTCCAATAAGAAATCCCTTAGATTTCCATAACTGATATAAAAGACGTGGATAAGTCTCCAATACTGAAAGATTACATTATTGAATTTCTAAAAATTTCTTCTGGTTGAGTTTAACCATTTCAAAAAGGAAAAGATTGTGAACGTGTAAATCTAAACATAAAACTCGATACTGTTTTCTTCGTAGCTGTGAGCCAGTCAATTAAAACAAGTTTATGTCTGGAAACTTGGCTGTCAGAATTGCAAGCCATAAAGTTAGGAACTATATGACGATAGATAAGTTTGTGAGCTGGTCTATGGAAAATCGACTAATTTGTCGAATATAAAACAACCAATTCTAGAGCAAAACATTTACGATGGCACGTCCTTTATGTTGTGTCAGTACATAAAAAAAGTTATTTTCGTTCAGAAATTCATTACCTACATCAAGTTGTAAAAGTTCATTTCCCAGTCAGCAAGAAAGGGATGTTGTTCAATAAAAATTTATATCGTGATAAAAGTTTTTATTTCTCAATCTGTCAACTCAAAAATATGGAAAGCTAAAATCTGGAATGAAAAATCGGGCAAATCTCTCACGGTAATACGTCATCGAGAGTCGCGCCATTTGCATAATGACGTCATTTATTTCCGACTTATTCGCGGCTGCGAATTTTGCACGGAGCTCGAATTGTGTTAACGTCCTCTTTCCATTCGGGACAACATTTTTCTAGTTTCTTTTATTTCGTCCTGAAATTATTCATGGCAGTGGGCTAATGAGGTTTTTTATGAAAATGTATTTACTCTTTTGTACAATTTGTCGAATCTCAGCTTCATTTTATATTTCTCTAATTATAGTTTTAGAGATAAAATACCGCTAAAGAATGGGGAGCAAATTTTATAATTTTTCAATTTTTCTGCTGCTCTTTTTTTTCTCAAACAAATGATCATTTAAAACCAAAATCTCAACATTGAAAAACTTGAAATTTCAACATTTTTGAAGGAAGGGAATCGATCATCATCAGAGAGAGAAGTGATAAATTAGTTGGAAGACACCAAATTCTGCGTTAATAATACGAAAATAATTGATCTGGTAAACTGCTCCTTCTTGTTGCTACGAATCCTATACATTGCACTGAGCAGTTAGAGTAAAACGACGAAAGCCTGGAAGAACTGGAAAGAGTCAGCCACAATTACTTTACCAAGTAATATCCACGGACAAGTAGCCAAAGATAATCTGCAAAAGAAAGATTCCAAATAGATTAAGCAGACACATTAGAGAAACTTTCTGAATAAATTTGTAAGAACGCCTATGTCCATGACCCCACAATGACAATCGTAATTGCAAATCGGACTTTTCTAGGTCACATCAGTCAGTTTTACACAAACCAAATCGTTATGATACACCATTATTCATTCATCCGGATGTATGATCATTAATAACTCAACCAGGCCGATAAGGTTAATTTTTTTTTTCGTTCCACAATGACTTTCCATAAAACAGATTTTATGGTTAACTATAAATGGAATTTTTCATGGTCCATTTTTGTTAAGTAGGTACCTACCTACGCTAGAAGATTTTATAGCAATATTTCAAGAAGCCGTAAAAAGCTCCTTTTCCATTTTTATAGGCTTAATAATATTGAAATATACATACAAGTTGCTTTTGCATGGAAATTATGGTTTGAATTTGTTACCTATATATTATTTATGCATTTCAATACTCTGGTGCATATAAAGTAAATTACTCACCTTCAATTCCGACTGAACAGGTTGACTAGACGACAGAGCCAATAACGTTAAAATATTCGCTATCCAGAAGGTATGGGAACATTTATGTCTTGACATCTAGAAAAAAAAACACACAATATTACTCCAACAATTCATCCTTACACGATTCACCATTTATAAATTTTCTATTTTCAGTCATCGGAAAGCTCCGCATAAATAATTCCAGTTCTCTGGCACAAAGCCCTATAATTTAGAGTGTCCATAAATAACAGACCGCTCCAGAATTCCCACAGCCAAAGGAATTAAATGAGGCGCAAAGAACGATCAAATGGTCATAATTATTAACCAAATTAACGCCCGGCCATGGCAAATTGCTCGAGAATAATAGGGAAAGTTTTTAGAATGGGTTTTTTTTTTTAAATTGGAAGCAGCTTTATCAAACATACGAGTTTTGCTCAATACTCCAAGAGCTAATTTTTTTCTTTTAATATAACAGGGGTATACCAAACAAATTTTTTGGGCTTTTTTCGTAGAAAATGAAATTGCCATTTTACCTTTTTATAGCTTCTTTCTCGAAGATCAATATTTATTTAGTTAGGGAGCTGCGAAGATACGAATAAAAAGGCACTTTTCTAACCTATCTCGGGAAATATTATTCAGAGCATAAAATCAGACACAATTTTAAATAATATTGTGTTGAAAAATGAATAGTATCATTACTAGGAGAATATGAGTTGGTTCAGGGAATTAGGGATTATTAAGGCTATAAGGAAAGTCTAATAGAGGTTTTTTTAAATTTGTTAAATTCAAGATTTTTCTCCTTTGTGCAACATATGGTCGAGTTTTGTTGGTTGCCAGAATGGTCATGAAATAATACATATTATCTTACTTTCTTGATAAAAATATTGATTGGATTAATCATCATCATCATCATCATGACCCAGCCACTTTCAGATACGCCTCCTCTAAATATTTCCACTTTCCTTTTGAGCGGTTGCTGCCCAATTTGTATTAAGTCTTTTCAGATCATCCGTCCATTTCGTGGGAGGTCTTCCTGGGTTTCGCTTGTCTATTCTCGGTCTCCACTCTAAAACTTTTTTTGTCCATCTACCACCCCTATGCCTTGCGACATAACCAGTCCATGTCCATATAGATTTTGTGATTTTCTCTATCATGTCGTCGTTTCTTATTTTGTCACTCAGAGTTACAACCAGCATCGATCTTTCCGCGTTGAGTGTCACGTGGCTTTCTGAATGATGCTTTTGTGAGTATTAAGGTCTCTGCTTCATAGGCGAGAACTAGCAAGATCCACGTATTAAAATTTTTCCTCTTCAAGGATATGAGTATGACATGATCTTTGAGTATATGCCGCCCTGCCGAGAGAGATAAGCCTTAAAAATTCGCACGTTTGTTTGTATCTGTCAATTCTAATCTCATTACTATCCACAAATTCTGTATCTGCTCTGTGAATTTGTCTACTTTCACTGGGGACAAGATTTGCCATTGCCGTAATCCTGTAATTGATGTTTAGGCCCACTGAAAAGACTTCGGGAATACCCTAAATCTTTGTCTGTTCGCTACTACTCTTTAGCAACCTCACTATAGATTTCAGGTGAAAATGGCTTGACTATAGTGGGTTGAGTAAGACAACAAATGCTAGTTGAATACTCATTTATTAATTGAAAGAATCACAAGCTATATTAATCTAAGTCAAAATATATTTTTTTTTCTATGAGTATTGAATAATATGCGTAATTTACATCCATTGATCAATGTGAAATATTACTCATACAGTGAGTTTTTTTTTATTAATTAATTGTTTTCAACCAATGAAAATATCCTGGTCTCATTACTCCATTATTTGAGAGCCAATCAGAAAATTCGACCAGTTGACAACATTCCTTCTAACCGGTCATTTTGACAGCTTATTTCAGAGGCTTATTTAGACAAGACTTGTGTTAACCTAACCTCACTTTGTCCTCTATCTGTCAGAATTGTCAATTAATTTTGCAACGAAAATTAAATTAAGAACCGCATAACTCGTGCCTATTATCTAATAATCATAGAAAAAGTATAGTATTCTACTCGTGGGCAATGGCTAGTAATCACTCGGATGATTACACTACTCGCCTGCGGCTCGTAGTGCAAACTTCATCCTTCGTGAGTAATATCCATCATTACCCGCTCGTTGAATAATATACAGGGTGACTCAGAGTAAATTTCCCTTTTCGAACGCGCCCTGTACATCCAACTTATTATTTGTGGGGAGGTTAGCGCTGGCAATATTTGGCGACTGCATGAGGATTATCAGTAAACATGGAGTAGTGGTCGAACGAGCAACGCGCGTTTATGGTTGAGGCGTTTTTTTAATCGAATGATTCTTATGTCGCAGCACGGGGAAGTTTTTGTAACCGTAACCATATCCGGCGTGTACGTGACGCTACGTCAAAAAATGTATTGAAATCGTGGGTTCAAAGATTCAAAGTGGTACAGTAGCAATTGGCAAATCAGAAGCGTCCCGCCATGTTTTCGAATTGAGCGCCTCGGATTTTCAGTCGCAGCACATCGCACAATCCCAATATTATCTGGCATTCTGATGGACTTCTGTTGGTCGGGACGCTTCGGATTTGCCATTGGACCACTTTGTCTGAATTTTTGAACCCATAATTTCAATAAATTTTTTGACGGGGTATCACGAATACACCGAATATTGTAACGGTTAGAAAAACGACATAGGAATCATTTGATTTAAAAAACGCCTCGACACTAAAGGCGCGTTGCTTGTTCGACCATTGCTCCATGTTTACTGATAATCCGCACGCAGTCGCCGTAAAATTCCAGCGCTAACCCCTCCACAAATATTAAGTTGGATGTACAAGACGCGTTCGAAAAGGGAAATTTACTCTGAGTCACCCTGTGACTTTTTTTTTTTATGATGCAGTCTTGTGATACTTGGAGTACCTACCCCACTATTTTCCAGACTGATATCTGATGCCGTTGCACGTAATGTCTATCTGTGTTGGTGAAGCTGCGATAAATAGCCATGTGTTTGGCATATACAATCTTCTCCATATCATAGATGCGATCGCATTCTTCCGGCCTCTATATGAAGAGATTGCTTAACGTCTGTAAATTTCGTCTAGAGCACAATGCGGGTTCGTTTCTAAGTAAGTTTTTAACAGTGGTGGAATTGCATATAAAATCCATGTCATCGCCTGGGTCACATGATGTCAGTTCTTCCTCACTTTGTTAAAAGTATTGTTGATTGTTGTAGTCTACTGCTAGTACTTCATTTGGAATGTCTAGTGTCCAATAAGATCCATTTTTGATTTTCAGTGGTTGGAATTACCTTAAGCAACTGAAAATCCGCTGTCTTTAACGATGATGATTAATGAAATTATCCAAAAATTCTATAGGTATAGGTTTCTCTGTTTATAAAACACATGCATCTTTGCAGTCTGACCTTGCAATAACGTACTGTGTTTGTTATTGTTCTCTGTTGTTTATAAATGTTTTGCGTGATTTTCTCGCCAAATAAAATAAATAAGTGCAAGGAATTATAAAGTTTAATATTGAGGATTGTCATAACGATAGAAGAAGCAGATGAAAACAAAGAAAAAACCTTTGTAATCATCAACATTCCAAAGCGAAGTGCAAGTCAACTCAAGCGCGCGGTTGCCAACTATTTTTGAATATCCTACTCCCATGGCTCGATTGAGTAAATGCTTTAAGTGCAACAATGATTGTGTTTTTAGAGAAGGCAAAAAAAAACAAAATTTATTTGGTTTTCCATGTGATATGTGCTGTAGAGTCGTCTGTCAGGACTGCAATAAGATCATGGCGCAAGAAGTACGGGTCATTCCAAGTTCTACGAGATTTTTGGTGCATTTATGTGTGGAATGTCTTGTTGATTTTAAACAGCTTCTAAAACTGCTTAAAGAGCTACCATTAATGTAACTAGAATTTAAACCAAATCAGTCGAAAGCAGAAAAGGATAGAAAAATTAATGCGCGTGAGTAAAAAATTCAACTAAATAGAACTAAATAGATCTCTTATACTGTGAATTCGAGCTCAACGGATAGAGAAAGAGAAGTCCTGTTGGCTCTCGATGAGAAATTGAAACAACATTCTAATGATATTTCTGTCAAATTGGACTTGGTAGTGGAAGCAATGAAAAGCACTAATGTGGAATTGGTGAGCGTACTCTCAAAGCCATTTACCCTTGCCCCATTGACGCTTTCTAATGACCAACCTGTAAATCCACACTTTAGAAAGGAAGATGTTCAACAAGCAATAAGTGGAGCGTTGTTGACTGCAATCACTAACTCAAATTCAAATAAAATAGCTAAAAACTCCAATTATCTGGGTTTACCAACAGATGTACTACAAGCAGCAGCAGGGAGCTCTAGCAAGAAGAACTTGGGACATAATGGTGGTATTGTAAAGGGTACTGGCGGGGTTGGTCTTGGTGGTCTGAGGGCAGCAGAGGAATGTTATTGGTTTTATGTTGGTAATTTAATGTCACAGACCACGGTGAAATAAATTAAAAAACATCTGCATATTGAGGGTGTAACTGTGTATACATGTGGAAAGCTGGGCTCCAGTAATATGCATACAGTATCTTTTAAACTATCTGTGCCCCCAGATGTAGAAAAAATTGTATTAAATGGGGATTTATGGCCTGAAGATGTTGTTGTTAAGCCATTTGTATCTAATAAGGGCCCTGGTAGACGTCAGAGGTCTAATTATTTTTTTCAAGGAAGGTAAACACAATATAGGCGCAATCAGTTTCTATTATCAAAATGTGAGGGGCATTAGGATCAAAATCAACCAGGTTCAGTGTTCCATTGCCACCCAGCATTGATATTGTACTGCTAACTGAAACATTTTTAAGTGAAGACATAAGAAGCAATGTACTTGGATTTATGGAATTGAGCTACCAGGTGTTCAGATGTGACCGATCATCCAAAACAAGCAACAAATCAAGAGGTTGAGGTGTCCTGGTTGCTGTTATGTAGAGCATATCTTTCTTCTGCTGACTTTAAAACCAGGATGTATGATTATCATAGTAAATGCATATATTCCGCCTTCCTCTTCACTTGAAATATATGACAGCT